CTCAAGGTAGTATGGCCAAAAGCTGTGAAATATGGCAATAACAGAGCTGACAGTCAGAGGACAGAAAGAAAAAAGAAGCAGGGAGAAAATAGGAGAAATATAAGAAGAAGATGGAACACAATTAGAACAACATAATGTGTCGGGCATCGGTTTAGCTCACTGGAATGAGCAGCGGAGCATATGCAGCAAAGCTGAGAGACCAGGTTCGAGTCCAACCTGAGACCCTTTGCTGCATGTCTTCCCCTCTCTCTTTCCCTCATTGTCCCCATCAAACATAAAGCCATATATATATATATATATAAAAGAAAAACAGGTCATCCACTGGTGCACCTGTACGGTATCATCCAAAAAACAAACTGCATTTGTAAGAGAAAATCTGATGCAATGTGATTTGAAAACAGAGTACAATCCAGCCTCAAAGGAGTTCCTACCTAAAAGGAGCTACTTCAACATCCTCCAATAAAGCACAGGACTATACCAAATATGCAAGAAAACTCTTCCTACTAAAGGTGAAAGAAATTGTTTGTCTTTTACCACTTGGAGGCAGAAACACATTGTTGAGTACAAACAGGCTACAGAGGTGGAGATTAGCAGCTGGTCATGTGCTACCCAAATAAACAGCTCTGTGGAGGTTACAGGGATACTCCTCTAGCTCTACATTCAGGGGGATGGTGGATGGAAATGACTTTTGAATAACCCTAATATTGTTTCAGTTTTATTATGTGACAGTATTGTGAACACTACTAAAAAGTTACGAGGTTATTTGTTAAGCAGTCATTTTTTACTTAAGATTTCAGGGAAAAACTGTCTGGGCTGCTTTCATGCTTAGATTTAATTTGCATAGTATTCCTGGACATGATGCCGTGTCAGTGCTATTGCATTACAATCCTCCGAGCACCTTGTTTCTGTAGTTTCAGCCTTCAAGTGAGGAAATGTGTTGTCAAGGATGGACAAAGTAAATGAAACTACAGTTGAAACTACTTTAAACTTTGATTTTGAAAAACTGTGTCAAACAATTTCAGAAAGTGTTCCTGATCCCTGACAGCCTGCTGGGCTCTCGCTGCCACTGCAGGGAC